AAAAATGACAAAAGTCAATTTCTCCTCAATCATTCAAAAAATCAATAAGATGATACTCAAAAAAATGATACTTCTTACCTACTCCAGCCCCAAGTCAAACCCAAGAGCCAACAATACCATAAACTGGAACAATTCAATATTGTACTTCTCAGAAAACCCTCCAATTAACAATTCTCAACTGGGTAGTAGCGTCAGATAGTGCAAAAAGATTCTTAGCATCTCCAAAGTATATATAATAGTGTAAAGCTCATCAGTACTAAAAACATTCAACTTCTCTCACAATTCTCAAGGCATTAAAATTATCAACAAATTTAACAAAGACTTGAAGAATACAACGAAGCAACAAATATAGTGACCTAATTACCTTCTGCATCAAACTCATGTTAGGAACTTTTCCCATATGAGAAAATCTCCATCAACAATATTCAGACCAATACTCTGATTTCTACTGTCCATGATGCGAACTCCACACTGAAAGCATACAACATATATTTAAATGTCCAAAAGCTTCAGAAGAGGCTAATCAAATTATTAAACAAATCAACCTTATTTTATACCCCAATGATGATTCAAAACCAATAAACCACATATGACAGGTTGTAAAGCTAGCATGTGGTATCACTGATGGTATCTTCTCACTATCAGACCTTGACAAGTGGATATAAGCATTGACTGAAGCTCTAATACAATTATATAATACCATATGGAAACCACGATGTACAGTATTACAGCCAACACCTCCCTATGAAATGGTATAAAATGGAAAGACAAATCTTCTAGCGACACAATCAAAGACAATCAAACAACTCTCAAATCAAATTTACAAAAATCCCTATCTATATAAGAGCCAACAACAATAACAATTGACCTATCTACCTTGATTACAGACATCTATATTCAAAGCAATTTCAACTTTTCTAAGTGCATTACTAATCTAATCCAATCTTATTTCTTCCAGCACTGAGTAGGTAAACATAGCCGCTCGGTATTACCTGACAAGACATATTGTTTTAAATTTTATTTTCAATATTAGTCATGTGGTTTCTGTAGGCAAGCTAGCATTAAACTCACTGTATTTACAAATGAGAGATATTGTTTCTTTCACGATGTATATTTTTAATATATAAATCAAATAAAGAAATGATGTTTACCTACTAAAAAAAAAAAAATAAATAAAAACAAAATTAAGAAGAAGAGCTTTTATAGATCTTTTTCTATACAATTAAAAAACAAACAAGACTTTTAAAACTTGCTTGTATTTTGATCAAGGATTTTATTTTAATACAATAGTGATTTTTAAAGTTTTTATATTTTTGAGCTTATAATATAGTTAGTATATTAAAGAGAAAAATAAAAATATTTCTTTAAAGAAAATTATCATTAAAAAAAATTTCAAAAATCAATAATAAACAGATAAAGATTTTTTTTAATATTATACTTATTAATTTTGTATTTATTAATTATTTTTTATTTTTTATTTTTTTTTAGTAAAATTAATTTAATATTTAAATAATAAGAATCTAAACATATATGTATATTTGAATATAAATAACTCAAATAAAAACATATATATAAAATATATTTTATTTATATTATATTTTTTTTTATATAATAAAAATTTTTTTAAATAAAAATTTTTTGAAATTATAATATATATACAGTAAACCCTCTTTAAATGCACACCTCTCAGGACCATAGGAAAATTTTTGAAAAATATGCATTTATAGAGGTTGTGCATTTATGGAGATAATTTTATTAATGGTTCTATGTACTTGGGACCAAGCTTGACCATGCATTTAAAGAGAGAAAATATAGTAAGTGCATTTATAGAGAGTACATTTAGGGAGATCTCTCTGTATATATATATAACATTTTTCTGTTTATTATATATTTTGAAAAAAAACTTTTGCTAAAAGATATTTACAAATATAATGATTAGTAAAATTATACTATACTCTTTCTAAAGTTATAAGTTTTACTAATAAAGAAGCTATAAGATTGAAGCAATTCTATTTATTCTTAAACAAGTTATCTTAAATAACAAGTTAAAAATAATATTAAAGTTTGGTTTGATTTTTTAATAACAAAAAATTGTATAATATTTTTCATAACTAAAAGATACATGCTAATACAATATAATAAAAAATATTAATATAACAAAACATATAATTATAAACAAAAATAAAAATCAATATTTTTTACTCTTTTATATAAACTTTACTTGTGATATAATATTTAATTTTTGTTTTTAGGGTTAAATATCTTGTAATTAAATATTATTTGACTATAATAAATAGCAACAGTAGTATTTTACTAGAAACAAAAAGTAAATAACCAATTTTAATTAGTAATTTTTTAGATTAAATAAAAATTGGCAAGAATATATAAAAAGTTAAGCCAATTATAAACATATATAGTAATCACAATATTATATAAATATATATTTTTTAAAACAATAAATAATTTTTTTTTTATAGTTTTATAATTATATTTTACAAATTTTAGAAAGTTTATTACAGATTAATATAAAAACTTATATATAAACATATATTTTTTTATTTTTTGAGATTTCAATAGATTTAATTAGAACCAATAAAATATAACTAGTCTGTGATTGACTTTATTGAATAGTTTTAAGTTTTTGTTTATTAGATAATAAATGAATATATATTCTAACAAGTTAATACTTCACTTATATTATTAGTGTTTTGATATTAATAATATAAGAGATATGAAGAGTAACAAGTTAACCAATAAATAGTTTTTTTTATATTAAGTAGTTTAGGAAATAGATAGAACTTAATTTATATTACAAATTGTAAAAATATTTAATATAATATTTAATAAACAAGATACAGTATCTGGAACCATCTATTTCAGATAGCCATGATTGCGTAATATATGCTTTATGTGTTATTATTCAAAGCAGAAAATCACATGATTTTCCCTCACGGCCCGTAAGCGAAATATTTTTTATTATCCCACACAAAAAACAAATACAGAGAATATGTAAAAATAGTCAATTTACTATATATAGATGACTTATGAACTGTTTTCTGATTGTTGTACAGGAAATTCTGCTTCGCAAAGGTGGTAATAGCGATGAACATTTTCCATATCTCCAATGAGAACATTATTTAATTGATTTGTTATGCAAATAAATAAATACACTTATCAAAAAACTGAATTCCTAAAGTTTTTGAATCTTGCACTTCTTCATCAGATAAGTCTGCTTTCAAAAAATTATTTAAACGTAAACATTTCGATCGGTCATGTACTGTTTTCGTAGGAGATGGAATCTTTGCACACTCTGAATGGCTTAGTTCAAGTTTATCCACAAAACGAATGATTCGTAAATCAATCTACGCCGATCAGACATTACATTGGAAAGTCTCTCCTCTACATACAAGTATGAGATCAATACTATTTATTGTTCATGTAAAATAATTGTGTTGGTCTTACCAGCGAAGTTTTATATATTCAGATGTATCACTAAATATTTCGCTCATTATCGGTGCAATCATATCGTTAAATCAAAATTTAAAGAAAAAACTCACATAAAAATAAATATTTGATATTTGTATAAACGTTTGAGGTATTGCTAGTTTTGATTTTATATGAATAATCTCGGGCTTTATTGTATTTGTATGCGCCACACATCTGATTATAGTCATATATCCATAAGATAAGTAAACAATATAACATGTACACATGCTTAAAAGTCAATAGATGTCGCTTTCCTCTTCAGCATTCTACTGAGCGCAGTCTTTCGTTTATATTTTACAAATCCAAGTCCATATGAAAGGTATAAGTACATACATGTGTAAAAAATAAAACCCGAATTGTGTGCAAACTTTATTAATTTTAAGTAAAATGCTAAAGAAGCTAACGAAATATATGATGCTATCAAAGAGAAGGGAGTACGCGGACATTTAATGCGAGTCCCAGCATCTAGTTATTTCTTTACTCTCTTACTTACATTTACGAATAATTTGGTTATACTTCTATTGCTAATTACGTGATTCTCACCCCCACAGCCTTTTACTATACTAGATCATCTATAGAGGCAGGAAAATTGATTAAGATCACATTGACATGTTTCAAGAAGCTAGCCGAATAATAAGTCAAATTACCTTGTGATTATTTTGTGAAATATACTCGTTTATTTGATCAAGGTTATTAACGATCTAAGTATTGGTAAGTTTGATTAGATTTTATTAGTTTACCTGATTTTTGCGCAAGACAGATAAAAGGGTTCACTAACTGCCTCGCCTTCTTCTTATATGATTTGTAATGGGTCTAAGATTCGATTTTTGGAATAACCCGTTTGAGAGAATACGCTATTATTATTCATCACGAAGATCAGCACTCCTTAATTTACAATAGAAAAATTTCAAATCATCATTTTTTTCACGTAAAGAAGATGCGAGAACGATTTTTTTAACTTGATAGAAAACGTAATCATATATTTCAGGTATTAGCATTTCTTTGATTATTAATAGTGTCTATAGTTTATTTCTAGTATTAGAAATGTATTCTCTGACAATTTACAAATCATTTAGCAGACTAAGAATAAACGTAAATTCAGTTTAATTAGTGAGAAATTATGTAATGCTGATAAATCATGGATCGATTTACTGGTAATCGTATTGATCCACGAATGATTATGAAGTTTAACGGAGCAGTACTAGGTGCTAAAAATAAGGTCACTTAGTAGCTAATTACTGTATCGGAAAAAATATTCAATATAAATAAATTAGCAATATGCGCTGAAAATCGTTAATATGCACGATCCGATTTTGTATAAGTTTCACCTGTATTTAAATCATAATAACAACCTTCATCATCATCGTCAGAAAATCCACAGAACCCATCATCTTCCTCTGAGAATTTGTCATCATTTTCACCATCGACATTGTCAACATCAGAGGAATCCAAATTAAAATCCAAGGAATCGGTTATACTTACCGCTTCCTTGGTTAAAGATTCCTTTTTTTCACTTACCTATATTTCGAATTGCAGGAGGCTAACACAGAATGACTAGCCTCTTTCTCGTCAAAAGCTTCCATGACCATTTTATCAAAATCGTCCTCAGCTTTGGGTGAATTGACTGGACCAAATTCTGAGGAATCATCTGAAGAATTAGAGATGTGTGTTAAAGGAATAGGTGCAGTTAATATGTTTACTTCAGCTGAAACTGCTTCCGATGCATTATTCTGATCATCTGAAACTTCCTCTTCGGATCTATGATAGAGTTATACTGTTCACCTGGTAATTCAGTGTTGAGATTCTTGGAGAAGTAATCAATAATAATTTGAATTGTACTATTGGATAATTCTACAATAGAATTCATGCTATATATTTTGATATATTTGATTTTATCAATTCCTATTTTTTTGATAAATTCAAAGCTTCCTGGCTCTATTGATGTGTTGATATAAGTATT